GTGGTACAGGTGCAGTGTGCTCCTCTCACCCCTGCTCTCCGTCCAGCCCGTGGCTGCCCCTGCCCACCAACCCTAGCCAGTGTACACAGCTTCCCAGAGTGACTGCATCCAGTGCAGCTGTCCATTCTTTCAGGAACTACTCGGCTCCTCCCCCTTCCCTTCCCACCCCCTCTCCTGCCTCCAGTGGCTCCTCCTTCTCCTGAGCCACTCCAAGCAAGAGGAAAGCTGCAGCTGGGCAGCTTCTGCCCCAGTGTGCAGGGCTCCAGCTCCTGGTCACCTTGCATCCTCTTGGCCACCTGCGCATGGGTTCACTGTCCTAAGCAGCCACGTGGGTGGAATGTGGCTACATTATAGCTCAAATGTGAGCAAATTCTTCATCACCTAACCAATTCCATCATCACATCTTGAAAAGTACAAAGAACTACCAGAGGTTAAAACCAGCATGGTCCAGATCCAGTGCAGTAGCAGAAAGAAAGGCAAGTGAGAATTTTAATCGTCGTTTCCTGCTGTGCAAATGCCATCACTAAGTTAGCTGAATGGGGCAGCCTTTGAAAGTAGAAGACTGTTCACAGAAAAGCAGCTAAAATCTAACAACTCATGTTCTGATTACTGTACTATTAAAAGTGACTTCTCACATCTGAGATATGTAGAAATTGCTACCTTTCTTTTGCAGCCCAAACCTACCCACAATGCTCTGCATCTTCAGGACTTGTTGGCTACATTACAGATATGTTGTTTATTTGGCAACAGTCCTGAAAGTCGCTGCATCCTGCTGCCATGTAGAACACAGCCTTTAAGTCATATAATCATATATTGATATTTTCTGCATTGTCCAGCTTTTATCCAGCAAGGACATGATATTAGAATTTAAAAAATAAACAAAAGTTATGTTATTTTGACTGGCCTCTTAAGTTAAAAAGTAAAAGTTCTGAGGACACCCCATGCTGGAATTCTCTTCATTTCATTGCATAGCAGTGTACAATTCTGTAGGTGGTTTTAATGGCACATTAAGAAGGTTGGGGCTACCATCAGGATTTATTAATTTAAATTCTAGTTACAATATGTACAGGGTCTCTATATTTTTGGATGCATGCATGCTATAAACAATTTTTTCTTGTATACAACTCTGAAAAAAAAAAATCAATACACTTGCCTTTTTCAATTATGAAAGCAGCCAATGAACTGCTACAACTCGCAAACACAGGGTATTTGGCAATCAGACTGTTAAATGCTTGCTTGACTGCTTGTGAGAATTTTTCATAAACCAGATGCCTTCCCTCTTTAAAATACAAACACAAACATTTTAAAAGAAAAACACATAGGAAAAAAGCAATATCTATTATTTAAGCAAGCTACAGTATTCAACAAATTAAACAAGTAGTTCAATACACTAATCCATAGTGCATCTTAGTATCAGTGGGCATTTGGGGGCTTAAAATTACCAAAAAAAAAAAAATCTAAATGAGTTGTTATTGAGCAACCCATTCAGAGTTCTGCAAGTGACCATCTCCAACAGCCTTTAACATGTTAACTACAGGAAAACTATTTGATCTGTATCTATTTATCCACTTGTACAAAAAATTATCACTTCTACTTTTAAAAAGCACTACAGTATTTAGAGCCACTAAAGCACAGATATCCTGTTTGAAGACAGAGCAGTATTGCTATAGACGTTTCTAACTTTACAGTAACTGTTGCTCTGTAGGATCTCTATTAGCCTCCTAATTAAGTTACCGGAGAAATAAGAAATTGAGGGTCCTACCATAACGAAACTCTGCAACGCAAGTAGGTCCTGACGAAACTCTGGGTTCTGCAGGAATCCGGGGAGGACCTGCAAAATTAACCTTCAATGTTCGGAAATATAGAGGGCATTAAAGATTTCAAAATATCAATACTCATTTAGTGTATCCCATTGCTGCAAACACTCAAGTTCCAAAACAGGTTGGTGAGAGGGGAAAAAAAATTTCAGCAAGCCACACAAAACTAGAGGTAGAGAACCAAAGTCAATGAACGCCCGAGATATTTAACCTCACACTTTACCATCAATGTTTTAGCTTTGAACAATTTCTCTCAATTAACCCAACAAATATTTAAAAGTTACCCTCAAAGGAGATTAATGTGATGACAGAATCCTTTTGAAAACATATAGGTCACATTCACTACAGACATAAGAAACAAATTTTGACCATAAACAAATAATTTATAACAGTAAACTTTTGAAAAGAATGCCTTCAATGATGTGTAAGAATTCAGAGAGAAATTGTAGCAAGGATACTTTCCTTTAAGGCATTCTCCCCATTGTATAAAGGAGGAACTTCAAAAGAAGAGCTAAAAAGGCACATCAGAATAAAGGATTGAAACGTTTGGGAACTGTAAGGGACTCTGCCCAAATAATTCACTGAAAACGTCAAGACACATTTTTTAAATTTTTATAAAGTTACATACAGAACACCTAACACTTTCCACAAATGTCTTCATATAACCTTTAAAAAAATCTATTAATGATAACAGAATATTTACCTGAGTTGCCAAGAACCTTTGGTTCCGTGTCCTCCAACTGCAATAGTTCATCAAGAGCCAGTTTTGCTGCATTTGATTTGGATTCCTTTTTGCTTTGCCCTAAGCCAGTCTTATACTGAACACCATCTATCACAGCACAAAAAGCAAAGTAACTCCCCAAGATATTGCCTTGGAGGGGGGGAAAAAAATCATACAATTAGATGTTCTGTTTTAACTAATTTTAATTAAAAACATAGTTATTTATTAGCTTTATACATCTGTCACCATGGAAAACAAGATGATTCCAAAACAAATACACCTCTAGCACCACAAAAATAAAACTTTATGACCAGCAGAGCTTTAGGATTTCATTTATATTATACTTTTCACTGTTGCTATTCTCTTCATCAAGGTCTTCCAGTAGTTTTACATACCCTAACAAAAAAACCTGATTTTTTGTTGCTAAAACCACTTTATCATATCATCTTTCATGTCAGAGGATTTAGCAGGTTCTCAACACTTTCACAAAATCAGGCTGTTTTCCTATTTTCAGGAATGGCATGAAGTTTAGGACAGACTTCTCGGAAGGTAAAATTATAAGGAACATTTTTAAAAACGGCTCAACTTAAATGTCTATTTTCTATTTTTAAAGTTATTAAGACATTTAAATGCCATCAACTTTCATGAGGCATGTACGCATATACTAACTTTCTGACAGTTAAACCAGCTTAACTTTTTTTAAGCCAACTTAACTGTCAGAGCATAAATGGGAAGCAGCGCTAACTTAAATGTGGCACAAGTTAATGCACCATGGAGGTGTATTATCTTGAGCTGCATTAGTTAAGTTGACTTAGCTCACAAGATGGCTGCCTCAATGTCAAGGAGTTGTACGTGTGTACACCCCAACATGGCTTAACTTAAGCCGGCTTAATTGAGCTAGTTTATTATGTATGCATGCACCCATGAAGGCTAATGCAGAAGAGTTCCAAGTCACTTCTGGTAATGCAGCTTACATATATTAAATTTGTTACCTCTTAGCCCAAATCACTAAGAAATCTGTGGCTAAAAACTTCAGTCTTAATTACTAATCTTTTCTTTAGTTTTCCTTCATAATTTATATTACAGTTGGCAGACAGACAGATAGCCAAATGAAGACAAGACCTTTCAACGGTCATGTTTCCCATAATGCATGTTATGAGAAATCTGATTCTACCAGGTAAGCTTGTTAGACAAGAACAGGCATAAATCTCAAAATCAATTCTCAATATAGAGTCTAAAAAGCAATTTTTGTTCAAGGCTCAAAACATTTTTTCTACCACCAATTTGAACCTTCTGATTTTAATAATGTTACAAGTTGAATTTTGATATTTAAACCCTCTGACTTGTAAATAAATAAACAAACCATTAAAATAAAATCAGAAATATATGATCGCCAAAAACGAATCCATATACCAATGGATTAAACACAGTATTTCTTCTGTAACACTTAAATGCTGCTGATAGACATGGGGGGGGAAAAAAAAAAACCTGCAAAAAACCCCCAAGAAATTGCACTTTACCAGAAAAAGTGCATCAGTTTGACCCAGCTCCTCAGCATCTGTATAGACTGTACACTTCAGTGGGGCTTTTTGCTGGTTTAATCTAATAGCTGATTGAATCAGTGATAAAATTACTAAAAAGCCCTGCTAAACTACACGATCTATACAGATGTTGGATGAACTGGGTCAAACTGACGCAATGCCTCTTTTGGGCATGTGTTGCATTAAGTGCAGGGGCATGCTGAGCTAAAAGAAAAAGCACTGAGGGGGTTTTCCTCCCCACCCCACCATGTCTGTAAGCAGCCAAATTCATTTTCTTTCCTGAATTGTAACCAACTTAGAATTGAGATAGGGGTGATGATTTTTTAAAAACAGAACAGCAGCAGATAGATGAAGTAGTGATTCATGCTACTTGCAGTAATTATACATAGGTAAATCCTGGATCAGATAAACAAGTCCAAGCAGCAGCAGCAAGGAGATATATGCCAGCTTCTTAGAGCCTAACTTTTCTGCCAAATAAAAATTAGGAAAGATGTGCAGGTGCAGGAAAGAAACAGATGAATGAGGATTGCATAGAATAAGCAACAGCCATGAGAAAGATCCTGTAAGATGCCAAATACAGAAAACCAACTCGCATAATTACAAACAGATGTGTGGCCCAAAACCTACTACACGATACTAGGTAAAATCTAGACACCATGGAAAGGCAAGAGCCCATGTAAGTGTGTATCAGGAATGTGCAAAGTGTAATCATCCCAATGAAGACAACAGCATCTGTAAAACCAGGTAGTCCAATCCTACACATTAGAAATGCTACAAATTTTGCCAAGAAATATGTCCTATAGAGACTCAATTGTAAACCACATTCAAGGTGGGCAATAGATAATGAAGCCTGATATACCAGACCACAAAATAAACACTGGTTTATCTGGAACAAATAGCCTCACAGCTGGTTCCCTTTTATGGTCAGCTGCATAATAACCAATCAATATAAATAGGGACCTATAGAAAATTGCAATTTTACAGAAATTGCAGAATCTAGCATTGCATGAGTAATCAGGAATTGCCTGCAAAAAACGCTTACTGAAAGTAAAATGCTGTTTCTCCAGAGCGAGCCAGCAGCCCTCAAGGCTGTGGCTCAGCTGTGCAGCCTGCCAGGTGGAGAAAGTGGGGTACCAGCATAAAGGGGAGTCCAAGATGGCTGCCACCCCCACCCTTGATTGGCTGAGAGGGCTGCCTGTTGCGTGGCTCTGCTGCTCGACCAATTGGCAGCAAGAGCTGGGCTGCATGATGAACAGCCCCTCCAGCAAATCAGCAGCAAGGGGTGTGGCCAGCAGGGCCTCATAGCCAATCAGAGGCATGGGGGGCCCCCGCCACAATTAGCCTGTGAAAATGGCAACTGGCCTTGTGATCTCTCTGCAAGATCAGCCGACTGCCTCCTCGAGTTGGGTGGACCCCTAAACTTAAGTGATCCTGCACCAATGGCAAACACATTCCACCCAACCCCAGTTGTTACTTGGCAAAGAGTACATATCCCTAACCTGAAACTAAAATCTAAACCAGAGGTTGGCAATATTTTACTAACAGTGGGCCACCCCCTGCATCCTAGATTGTTCTGTGAGCTGCCAATCCCCTGCTGAATCCCAGTTCCTGCTCTGTGCAGAGGGGCTGATCTTCACCCCATCAGTTAAGCCTCCTCTGAAAGATGTGGCAAAGGATAATTTATAGTGGCTAATTCAGTAAGCAGAGGCTACTATGCTGGAGCCAGGATTACATGAAGCCCTCTGCAGAAGCCATCAGCAAGTGGATTAGCTGGCCCTTCATAAAATGCAGAACACAGAACTTGGGCTGGATCTGACAACTAGGCTGTAACACAGAATCAATTCTCCTATATTAAACCGTGGATTGAACTGCAGGCCGGATCCAGTATCTTTGGGAGTCAGATCAGGGGGGTTTAGCCATAATTGCGCCAACCAATGTAAGAAATGGAAGAAGTTAAATCTATATTCAATATATACGTTTATGAAGACTGGTAGGCTGAAACTCAAAAGAAATGCACAGCTACAGTGCAGAGAAAAGCTTCCAATGCGGTCTTTATCATGAAGCATCAAAACAACCATCTGACAAGTAGATGGTCATATTACACACAATTGCATGACAAAAGAACCAGAAAGAACAACAACCAGATGCATGCTAATCATGCAAACCCCTGGTCCATGAACTGCAAAACTGTTGGGCAGAGATAAAACTATGTCATCAACACTGGGATAGCAACAATATTGGTTCTGTTTGTTGGTGAAGTTCTGTACTGTGAACTGATGTAACTATAGAAGATTTTAGAGTACAGGGACTAGCTTATTCCACAAGTAGATTTTCATACACAAATTTTCAGAAGTTATGAGTCAGTACACACCCATATTCACACAAATTTTAGGACTAACAGATGCCCAGAAAGTGGAATTCTTGAACCAAACTCAAATAAAACAAGCTAAACATTGGTATGTCTTATACCACAAAAATTCAGGCTTATTAACTGACTTTTCTGGCAATATGGTGACCACTTTTTCCACAACCTTAGATTCTATGGTAGTACAAACACAAAATATCATGAGCTAACCATACATATTGTAAAGGCTGATTTCAAAATCTCACCTTCACATCTATAACCAGCAAAGATCCTTAAGGAAGTGAATTTCCAGATTTGGTGGCAGTGCATAAAAGTACAGGATGGCTACTCCTTATGCTCAACTCTGTCCAGAGAGAAGGAAATTGGGAACTGCATCCCTCCACCTTCATATGCATACTATGATTCTTCACAAGATCTGACCACATAAACAACGTAAAGCGAAATGCCATTTGCACTGTCGAAATACATTTTTAGCTTAAGTGTGCAAGGAAACTTTATCATCAGGAAATTAGGACAGAAACCCAACCAGACAGTTCCTGATGATTCAAGAATGCCTTAACAATGTAGAAAAAGAGAGTGGTAGGACTACAAGCATCAGCAAGACTTTCTCAGCCACATGCCCCTTTGTCTTACAACCTTAGAAGTTATATTGGTGTATGCACAAGATCCATGTTCCGTATTGGCTTTAAAGACTAACTAGGGCATGTCCAGGCAAGCACACATGTGGTATGTGGCAATGCAGATCCACCTGAGGCACAGCATGCCACATATGCAGGCATTTCCCGCGCTGCTAATTTGCAGCACAGGAGGGATATTTGACACTGGGAGATTCTGGTGTCAAAAAGCCCCATGCCTAAAAAAGCAAGGTGTTGCATATGGTGGCAGCATGCACTGCCCAAAACTGGAGCCTGGCCAACCGGAGCCATGCTCCATCTGTCGGCCAGGCTCCCTGCTGCAGGACTGCAGCAGCTGCAGCCTGCAGAGGCCCTCAGGTAAGGTTGCTGGGATCAGCCTCAGTGCTGGCCCCAGCCTCCCCTTCCCCACCCAGGGCAACGTGCCACATGCCAGAGTGCGCGTGCACAGGGATTCCCTGAGGAAAAGCAGCAGCAGCACACGTTGTGCCGCTGCTCCTCCTCCCCAGGAAAACACACGTTCCTGCTCGTGGGGACATGCCCCTAATGACTAAGTTAATAACGCAAGGAAACATTCCAAGGCTAGGGATTTTTGACTGGAATGTGGTGGTGTTCCTGCTGGGACTTAAGCCCAGGCGTTCCTAGCTAGACAGCCGTGCTTTTACACTAAGAGTCACATCAATGGCCATAATTGGGATAAGAAAGGAATTTTACCCCATCCAGCCCTGGCCCCAAGCTGTCATGACCCTATGCTCCTAGGGTTTCTATTGAGACCAGCAGGGAGCAGCGCAGGCAGGACAGGGAGCTGCTCTGGAGCCGGGGCTGGAATCTTGCAGTGGTGGTAGGACAAAGCTGCTATTTGCTCCCTGCACACCCCTACCTGAGGAACCCACACTCCGAGGGTCATGTGGGCAGCAGATGACAGCTTTCCCCAGCTCTGTCACCACTGCAAGATCCTGGGGCTCCCCAAGCCTGACTGTCTCCCGCTCCCAGCCAGAAGTCCATCCTAGCTACGTGCTCTGCCCATGGAGGATGGGGGGGTTGGGTCCAGCAGCAGCAGCCAAAAGGAGCTGTCACTCTAGGGACTATTGGGAAATAGAGCATGCCACAGGCCCAATCCGGCCCACAAGCCAGATTGCCCGCCTCTGGCCTAGGGTCCGATTAGCAGAAACTGTAGGGAGTTTTGATTTTGAAGCAAGGAACAAAGTCTTTATCGTCCTCTTCCTTAAATCTGTCAAACGTATTTTTACAAGCTACCTCCGGTCCCTGTAGTGACAGGACACTGACAATGCCGACGTGCCCCTACTTTACATCTGGCAAGGTAGGGTGTTCTTGTTTCCAGACTTTATGCCTGGTGGTTGCATAAGAGGGCTGTTTGTGTAGGTCTGTTTGGAATAGGCTAGATAGACATTTGTATAGCATGGTTTTGGTAAGTATGATCCTGCCTTGAGATACAGAGCTGATTCCGACCCTATTTTTCCATGATTCTAAAGTCTTTTCCTAGGGACAAACCACCCGCTTCACTGAAAAATACTCCAACAAAAAATGTAGCTAATGTAGTTACATAAAATGCACTGTTGAATGCAAATATTACAGAACAAGTGTAATTGGACAGCTGTGTGTGGAGACAGATGTAACATTTCAAATTGCAAGTATACTTTGAAGCCTTTCAAAATGGAGCATTTCAGCAATGGACAGCAATACAGTTCTTTGCCAGGCCCCCTGGTTCTCCAGCAATAACATGTCTCCAGCTGAGAGATGTCCACAAGGGGCTGCAGTGACCTAAAGCTCTGTAACCCACTGCTGCAGTGTGGGTAAGTGGGGCTAGAGAGTGGGAGGGGAGAAAGGAAACAGAGTGAACTTTCAGTGCATCTCAACAGGCCCTGGTCTCCAAGGCAAAGTAAAGGAAACAGAGTTGATGTCAGTGAGCATTCTTCTATCTGCTCCACCTTCATTCTCAAGGACTGCTCCTACCAGAACTGGGATACCACGTAGAAAGGTACACAGGTACTGGGGGCTCAGGGCCTCAACAGCAGTAGCTAACATCAGTGCACTGATTTTCTAATTCTTGCACATTTTGGTTTTGCTCATACTTGTTATAATACTGATGTCAACATATAAAACACTTTTTGGCAAATAAGTTAAACTTCAATAACTTTATAAAAGGTTTCTCCATGTTACTAGATAACATTCGTATTAAATCTTGGGGTGAAATTACACATTACAATTACATCAACTGCAGGGCCCAGTTCAGGATGAATCCAGGTGCTCAGGGGCAACACAGGCTGCAGGGACCCCAGGAACAGGCAGGGAGGGGAAACCCTTCCCCTCCACTGCTGCCTCTATTGTTTTTGGGCTGATTGGGATGGCAGGGCAGCAATCAAGGGGTGGAGGGGCCAATGGATAATGTGTGTGTGTGTGGGGG